ATCAGACTCATATTCTGACTAGAATTGAGTAGGAATACGTCAGGCTAGAGTGCACCCTGGACAAGTCCCAAGTCTGTTGCAGGGTAACACAGAGACACGCAAACTATGCACTCACACTCACACCTAAGGGTGATTTAGAGAAGCCAATTAACCTTACATTCATGTTTTGGGACTGTGGTAGTAAGCCAGAGTACCCAGAGAAAACCTGCGCATGCACAGGGAGAAAATGCAAACTCCGCGTGGAAAGACCATGCCAGGTATCGCACCCAGAACCTTCTTGCTGCTAGGCAACATTGCTACCCACTTGCCATAAACAAAGTCATGGGTTGGACTTTTTTAAATGTTGGGTGTGAGATTTGACAGCTGTTATGAAAGATTCATATCATTACTAGGAGGCCAATGAATAACCAGCATCTGTGGGTCTCACTATATCCTCTACACCCAAACCCATCCTTTTCAGATTGCAGCTTTTTCTCTTCAGGTGGGCTGTTTCTACAAAAGGAAATAGAGACGTTCTTTCTAAAAAGATTAAACAATCAGTCTCCTTTGTGTAGAGAACAAATCAGCTGTATCTGTCTTCAAAAAGCTAATCCTCTGGGAGGGAAAGTTATTTTCTGCTTCTTACAGGAATGTAGGCGTTTTATTTAAAGAGTCTTGTCCAAAGTGACAGCTCTCTGGTTTATGAAAAAGATCCACTGCACTTACTATTATGACTTCCAGTTACTGTGCCAGTGATATATATTAACAGTGGTTAAAAGAGCTGACTTGTGCAGAGAATGAACTAAATAGAATATATCAGAAAGAAATAATCTGTCCAAGACTATCTGCAGTACTAACTTATAATTGGCACAGCAGTTACAGACCTAAATGATCCAGTAGTTCTGGGTAAAAATATGGTGTGGAATTAAATGTTTGCTTCGTCATTGTTTCAGATTTATCACTCTTAAACCCACTTTGATAAAAATGCATGATAGGCTGGTGGTTAAAGAAAGGTGTGTTGTCATGGTTGAGTGGAGGTTTTTGAGGACCAAAATGCAGAGATGAGGAGGCGAGGTGAGTTTTGTTGATTTGATCAGGGAGCAAAGGAGAGTAATTCAAGTATTCAACACAGCTAGAAAACAACTACAAAGACACCAAATTACAAAAAAATAAATGAAAATAAACCAAAACAGAGGGCAGAACCCTGACAGTACCTCCTTTCAAGGGCAGATACCAGATGCCTAAAAGTCCAAACGAAAACCTAAAGTCCTAAAAACACAAAACAATCCACCCTGGCTGGGCGGACGGGAGCCCTTGAAGGAGGGGAAGAACTTAACCGAAATCAGTATCCAATAAACAAAAAATAACCCAATCAGGGTGGGCAACGGTGAGGCAGAGACTCTGGTGGCCGAAGGCTAAGCAGAATCCCAGGAGATGGGCTGTGAGGCCAGAGGTGAGGCAGAATCCGTGAAGGCTGGCTGTGAGGCCGGATGCCAGGCAGAGTCTCTGCGGGTTAGAGCCTTGGGAGCCTTGGGGAACCTTTGGGAACATCGACTTAGGCAGAGAGCCTTGGGGACCGCCGAATGTAGCACAGGTGCCTATGAATTTACGGTGCAGCTTGGGACCCATGAAGAGGCGGTGCAGTGCCCGCTGAGGAGCCTCAGAGGTGAGGAGCGCCTGCTGAGGAGCCTTGGAGCAAGGAGCTCCCTCTGAGGGGCCTTGGAGCTTTCACAGCCTTGGAGCTCTGTTCTAAAACAAGATCCATCATTGGGTTCATGGGTGTCTGAATGGCAGAGAGCATGCTCAGGGGTCTCTGGACCCTGACGTGTATTCATATAAAGAGATTTGACTTGTTTAGCATAGTCCACATTTCAGTTTAGAATAGTTTAGTTTATAGATGAATTCATGTTCATTGGGACGATCAGACTGCCCCTTTGAATAATAGAGTGAATTATTGGCTGATTATGAGTTTGGCAAATTAGACCTCCATGCTCCAATTCCTTCACCTTTCATGGAATCAACAGTAAAGGCACTATTGTAGGTAGGAAAGGAGCTCCAGACTGCTTTGCTGAACCTGACAGACTTAAAATTCAAACAGATTCACCAAAATTAGACAAAAAAAAATTGAAAAATGTTGTCAGGTCTGGTGAGTCTTGAGTTCTGCTGCAAAATTTAGATGGTAGGGTCATCAGCATCATGAGAGCATGGATCCATCTTGCTTTGTACCAATGGTTCAGGCTGCTAGTGGTGTAATGCTGTGGGGGCATATTTTGTGGAAACAATTTTGGCTCTGTACTACCAATTAGTTCCAACAACACAGCTTACCTTGAGTATTGTTGCAGCAGGATAATGAAGTCATGACCAAGAATATTGCATGTCTTAGACATAACCTTTCACCGACTTACAAAGCACCTTTAGGAACAATACCCAGAAGACTCACCCCTCACCTGACCCACACTTCAATGAGGCATGTGACCGAAACCATCTGACAAGAGTCAACGACCCTTCAGAACCCCCTAACGATCACTAAAAGAAAAGTCCGGTCACCAAGGAATGAGGAGTGAATCATTATCTATACCTAAAACTAATACGTTTGCAGTGATTTAATGAATTTAGCTTTAATCAGTAATAAAATAAAAACAATAATTTTTGTTGTGATCACTGAGCCCGGGACCGGCCATTTTTGCCCGAATATAGTAACACCTCAGTCCTGATATCTTCCAGCATTGACGTCACGGTGATGTAAGCCTAGTGCCATTCTCCCCGCTTTACAAGCAAAATCAATGGGAACTACAAGACACATCTGCAATGAACTACAATTGTTTTAGATTTCGAGAGGATTTCACTATTGAAATGAGAGCTATAGCATTGTTAGTTTATATAGCTATAAATGGACAATACCCACGAGCATAGCAGTCGGATGTTGTAATACATCGGGTAAAAGGGGGAAAAAAATGTGTTAAGTCACTTTTCTGATTCATGATCCTCCAGTGACAGGTTCGTCATTGGATTACCAACTTGAAGATTGAGGATTTGCCATCGAACTTCTGGCCAGAGAAAAAACATGTGATACATAGCCAACATTTTGAAAAAGAATGTTTTCAAGATGACTTGGATAATAGCACATTGTGACAGACACCAGATACAGCATTGGGACTTTATCAACAGCTGATACCACACCGTGACGTCACAAACTGGTAGGTAGCAGTAGTGCTCTTTGACAAACATGGATGTCTCCGGTAAAGCACATTCAAATGAAATTACTCTTAATTAAAAACACTTATCATTTATTGAGCAGTATGCAAAAATTTCCGGATTTTTTCTTTAACACGCCCAGGTCACCTCCATGGCCAATCCAGTGGGAGGGATCAGAGCCACCTTTTGTTCCCGCTAATTCTTATTAATCTCACCACTAGTTAGAACTGAAGAAGCCTCTTAGATGAGAGGTAAAACATCTTCCAGGAAACTTCACATTCAGTTGCCCAGATTAAAATTTTAAACTTGACTGTGACCTGGATGACAAAGAATTTTCACAGATATAACTGACTTTGATAATGAAAGTGAGTTTCCTAGTTTAAAAATGGCGTTCAAATATGTCTGTGATTCTGAGTCTGTTCATTGTTGAATCAGGTCTAAAGCAGAATATGGTCTGAGGTGGACTTCCATTTGAAACATAGCACTGATACAACATTGTGATGATTTGATGTGATTATCTGCAAACTGTAATACTGTACATGAAACAAACAGCAGAAATTATGTTACAGCATTAAAATATTACTGTGACCATATACGGGATGATTTTTAAAAAAAGATTATTTTATAAGCTCTAGTGGCCTTTTTTTTAAAATCATTTTGAAAGTAAGCAGACAGGAAATGGGATTAGAGAGAGGGGGAAGACATGCAGTAAAGGTCACCAGGCCGGGACACCAACCTGCGAAGAGGACCAACTCCTCAACAACTCCGTCACCACCACATCCAAAGTGAACAGTCTTGTACTGTATTTTCACATCAAATTAACCTTTTAGTTACGACTGAGTATTAGGGCCAGGCTAGAGATTTTTTTGTCTTCTATTTCAAGAATAAATTCGTAACATTACGAGAATAAAGTCGTAATATTAGGAGAATGAAGTCATCATACAACAACCTATTTCAGGAAGAAAGCTTCAGCTCAGACCACCATATGATGTTCGAACAGCACCACCAAACAGCAACCTGAGTCCACTTTGACATTCTGCCCAATTTGATGCTGGTGTGCTAAAAGATTTCCTTATTTGTGAAACCAGAGCTAAAGTATAACTTCACATAATCCGCAACATTCCTTATTTTAGGGAAGAAAGTGCTTCTTGTAAGAGTAATATAAGAATAAAATACAACCGGTTTCATGTAATTTTAGGACTTTATTCTCTTAATATTACGACTTTAATCTTGTAATTTTAGGACTATTCTCGTTGTGACTTTTTTCTCGTAATATTATGACTTTATTCTCGTAATTTTATGACTTTGTTGTCGTAATTTTACGTCTTTATTCACTTAATTTTACGACTTTATTCTTGTAATGTTACGACTTTTCTCTTGTAATTTTAGGACTATTCTCGTTGCAACTTTATTCTAGTAATTTTCCGACTTTCCGTCTCATAATATTACAACTTTATTCTCGAAATAGAAGGAAAAAAAAAATCTGTAGCCTGGCCCTAATACTCCGTCGTATTTAGTAAATTCTTGGAGAAGACTGAAATTTAAACTCTGCCTCAGAGTGGCAGCAGCAACAGTGGAAGCAGCAACCAGTGTTGAACCTTGGTCTCTTGCAGTTAAAAGGTCAGCTCTTCCTTCCCACTGTAATCATATGCTTTGACAGGATGGCTGTAAATTCCATTTCACAGGTTTTCTAGTGTAAAAAAAAAGGAGGATTGTAGACTTCCACCAGTCTGCCATATTTTTGTCTTCAATACCCTAAAGTTCCACATTTATCGGTTGTATCAGTACCGGTAAGTATAATCAGCCGGGAGATGGCCAGACATTGTTCCCTTTTGAAAAGAGGTTTTCCAACATCACAGACAAAAATGTACCTTTAGGACGCTGCTCTTATTTTACATGATTGTACAGTTATAATACTCTACCCACCACAAAAAGTGTATGATCTTTGACTGTATGATCTGGTTGAACTGTAAAGTGCCTTGAGATGACATGTGTTGTGAATTGGTGCTATATAAATAAACTGAGTTGGGTGGACAAACTGTGTTTTAAGAGTAACGAAAAGCATTACTTTAGAATGGCAGACAAAAAACCTGATGTCAGTTTTTCAGAAAATGTTCACACCTAAAAAGTTGTGTGTGACCAAGGAGGACCCACGTCCTCACTAATCCTAGTTCTGCCAGGAGGTTTTGGAACAGATCCCTGCTCAATACTTGCATAAACTTGCCTTGTTAAAGGATGCTGCAGTAAAAAGCAACAGCAAATGTTTAATGTGTATTGCTGTCATCATAGAGACTTGTTTTTTCTTTATGTCAAAGGTTGTCAAACTGATGGTCCACCTGTTCATGGATGAGAGATGGTGTAAAAATATAGCTTAATTAGGAAACCCCATCCTAAAGCAGATAATTTGAACTTTGAGGAGCCAAATCTCTTCCTAACCTCTGTGCATTATGTTAAAGGTGTCTTAATGAACATTAAATAAAGGTGATTTATAGCAGGTCTTCTCATGCTCCCAACTTGTTCTGAATGTAGCTTCTTTGTCAGAACTATCCTATCAAAGACCTCACTTATTAGCTTTTATAAATTACTCTCTGTTTTTGTGTTTTGTTTTAGGTTAACCAGGTAAAATAAAAGAAGCGAGTGGACATCACTACCAGCACCTCCCTCTCTCCTCCACCAGGGATCAGCATTGTGTTAATCTGACGTGACTGCAACAAATGGGTTTTAAAATGTACCCCAAGAATGGCCATGCTATGGAGAACAATCCTCACACACGAAGCCGTGATGAGTCAACATTCAAGATTTCATCTGCTCCAGATTTCATTCCAAAAACTGAAAAGGAGCTAAAACTGAGCACAAAAGAAGAAAGATTTTACAAAAACTCTGCACTGATCTTAGATTCAAGTAGTCAAGTGTACTCAGGGCTGGACGACAATTCAACAGAGCCACACGAGTCCCTGACAGAGTCCTCCAATGTTACCTTTGTTGACAGCTACACTCTGGAGGAGTCTGTGGATAATCACAGTCTGAATGAAGTTGGGATGATTTACCTCAAGGAGTTTGTGTTGATAGATGACGATGAAGATGGGGACATGTCGCTGAGAGAGAAAACAGTCACAGACTTCTCAGTCAGGGATGGGAAAGCTGCAGACCTAGTGTGTGGAAGGCTCCTGTCCACATCCACTGGCTTTGACTGCAAGGATGAATCTTCATTTCATGGTCCCACTTCACCTGAGGAGGTCAGGGCAGAGCACAAAAAGAACTGCTGTTTCTGCACCCTGCTGTGACTGTTGTAAAACCTAGACTAACTTCTTTATAGCCAGAACAATTGTTTTTAAAGTATTCATTCTTGTTGAACTGTTATAACTGATATTAATATTGATTTTCATTACTACTAATGGATTTAGCCTAGGTTTGATTGTATGCAACGGATAAGATATTATACATATACATCCAAGCATACATACTTGCACCAATGTTGTTGCTGATAATATATGGAGTTTCCCTAAATACAAAAACAAAGAATCTAGGTATTTCAATTGCAATTTATTTAATTGAACAACAATAAGTTATTTTGAAGTGGAGGTGCAATCTTGTTTGATTGATCTGCATTTATAATGGATGGTCTGAGACTTTTTTTGGTGGAGCCTCCTCTTACTGTAAAATTAGCTGTAAAGCCAGTTCTCTTTGCAAACAAGCTCAGTCAGATTGTAATAGGAGTCTTTGTGAACTTTACTTTTCAAGTTTTTTTTTTTTTCAGAATCTGTCATGGATTTAGATCTGGACTTCGACTTGACAATTCTATCGTAAGAAAAGGCTGTGATTCAAAATACCCAATTGTAGCCCTGACTAAAAGGTGTTCTTGAAGCTAAGCTTCCAGGCTAGTCTCAAGATTTATACAGAGGTGTCACGTAACTAAATATAAAGACTTAATTAATGCTGTAACTTCTATGGTATCTGTACTTTACCTACTTGAGTGTTTTAGTCTTTTTACTTTTACTACCTATATGTAAACACAAATCTCTTCTTTTTATTCGCTACTTTCTCCAAACCAACTCATTACTTTTATACATATTGACAACAGGACATTACAGCTGCAAAAAAACTGAAGGGAAATCTAGAGCCCAAAGAGAATCTGTTTATTTAGAGCCCAGCTTGTCTATAGAGAAACATCGAAAGCAACACGAATAATGACGGGTTGCATATGATAGATCAGTTTCTGAGACTTTATTAAATGGTACATAATCATCATTTACATGTTGACTTTGATGAGGAGATGTTTGATTTCAGTTTGAACTAAATTTGCAACATTTATGATGTGAATACTAGAGCTTTAAAAGTGTTTCACTGCTCATGGGGGACCTCTATTCCATCCAATTTATATTCAATTCACAAAACATGACATCTCAAGGCGCTTTATAATTCAACCAGATCATACAGTCAAATTGACTCAAAGTTTTCTATCTAAGGAAAAGCAGTTGATTGCCTCGACTCACTGACTCAAAGGCAATCCCTCACACTAAGAATGCTTGTAGCAACAGTGGAAAAGAAAACCTCCCTTTTAACAGGAAGAAACCTCCAGCAGAACCAGACTTAGTTTGAGCGGCCATCTGCCGAGGCCGATTGGGTTTTAGGAGACTGAAGCAGACATACAGTAAGAAGCAGAAATAAAAAGACAGCTATAAACCAGCTCCACAGGAAACCCCATCCAGGAAAAACAAAGCCAGGCAGACGAGCTCCGAGCCAACTCCCATGTCAGAGGATGAGGAGCGCACGTCTGGCCAGTCACAGCCAGAGAAACAGGAATACACTAAAAAACAGGACGATCTCGAACATCTATAAACAATGTTGTTGATGGCAGCAGCACAGCTGAAATTTCTCTCCAGGATGGAGTCACAGCCAAACAGGAACATACCAGATGAAGCTACCATAAGAAAAAGCAGAGAGAGCATAGTTTTAGAGATTGAACTAACTAGAGACAGAATGAAGCAGAATGATGAAAAGGGGTCCCTATGTCCTCCAGCAGTCCAAGCTTATAGCAGCATAACTATGGAGATAGCTCAGGATAACCTGAGCCACTCAAACTATAAGCTTTACCAAAGAGGAAAGTTTTAAGCCTAGCCTTAAAAGTAGACAGGGTGTCTGCCTCATGGACTAAAACTGGTAGTTGGTTCCACAGGAGAGGAGCCTGATAACTAAAAGATCTGCCTCCCATTCTATTTTTAGAAATTCTAGGAACAACTAGTAAACCTACAGATTGAGAGTGAATTGCTCTGTAAGGAACAAAAGGAACAATCAGATCTCTGATATAAGTTGGAGCTTGGCATTTAAGGCTTTATATGTGAGAAGGAGGATTTGAAATTCTATTTTGGATTTAACAGGAAGCCAGAGAAGAGAAGCGAGGATAGGAGAGATATGATCTCTCTTTTTAATTTTCATCAGAACTCTGGCTGCAGCATTTTAGATCAGCTGAAGGTTTTTAACTACAGTTTGTGGACTTTCTGATAGTAAAGATTTACAATAGTCCAGCCTTGAAGTAACAAATGCATGGACTAGTTTCTCAGCATCACCCCTGGACAGGAGATTTCTAATTTTTGCAATGTTCCTCAGATGAAAGAAGGAAATTCTAGAAAGCTCTTTGATATGGGATTAAATGACAGGTCCTGATCAAAAACAACACCAAGATTTCTTACTATTTCATCCTGTCTGAAGTATTAATTATGAAAAAAACAGATAAAGTGAAGAAAAGAGGAAAATTAGCTTAGTTTTACTTTTTTAAGAATAGTTTTTAAGTTTAAAAGTTATTTTGTATGTTTTAAGGCAAAACTACATTGTATCTACATTGTACCTATGTACAATGTAGATCTCAATCTGTAAATTAAATTTTACCAGTCTTTTCTCACACAGGTTTCTGTACTTTTAATTAGCAAAGAGTGAGGTTATTTATTACACATTTGTGTTAATGCATAAAACAAAACAAAAAAAATTCTCAGCATGATGCTGCCATCATCATGCTTCATGGTGTTCACTGGGTGATGTGAAAGTGTTGATAACTTTTTCAATTTTTTTTAATGAAAAAATGAGAAACTATGCAATGTTAAAGTTTGTGCTGTGACCTAAAATCCCAATGACATATGATGAAATTTGTGGTTACTTTTGCAAAAAATACTTTAGTGAAATATTCTAAAATGTGGCCTATGAAGCAGTCCTGGACAACGCCATAGTCTAAACTCTCAGGTTTATATAGATTTATCCAGGCAGATATTTCAACACAAGTTTTCCTTCTTTGTAAAACCTTCATATGTATGAAAAATGTACTGCAACTAATACTGCATCTTGGACAGTACTAGGGAGTGCTGGCTCAGTGGTTAGAGCAAGTGTGTCTAGGAAAGGCCATGAGGGTCAAATTCAAGGCATCAAATTGGGTCTAAGCAAGATCCTTGATGGCAGAATGCTCAATGCACTCCCCATTGTAGGGAACAGATTTCTCCAAAGTGGGAAAAATTAATGAGACTGTTTTCTTTCCTTTACTCACCTCCCCTGCAGGTATTTTTTTTTTTTTTTGAGGAGACTTTTACTTACATTTTGAAGTTATGCACATTTGTAAGTGTTTTGCACTGAAATGTAGGTTAGATGCCCAGAGTGTTAAATCCTGTTGCATGCTGCATTAAATCAATTTCCATTCATAGAAATCATAAATCTAAGTTTAGTCAATCACCAAATGTACAGTATCTATTTTTTTTAATCATTGTACAGTTGACAAAACAAGATCTGATAAAAGAGAAAGAGTTAGTGAAAGCTACACAGTTCATACATATCAGCATATGGTGCTAAAATAAATATATCAAAATGAACAAAATCCCTTGTGTTTCCTTTTCATTTAATAAAATAAAATAAAAAACATCATACCAACTAAAATACCAACTTGAGAGGGAGACAAATGCCGGTTGTTTGTGCGTCAATCCATTTTTAAAAAACTTGGGTTAGCGCGCTATTTTCAGTGGGAAAGAGGCTTAACGGGGTTTTTTCTTTCAGCTGAAAAAGTACTCAGAGTGTTTGGATTTTTTTTAAGTATGTTAGTCGGACATTATGGCAAAGACTGAATTCATTATAAGAGTTTCAATGCATCTTTCTGTTTTTTAGGTGTTTGATTCCAGTTTTCTTCTGCCAATGTGTGTCGTGAAGCCATGTGAAACAACATTTTAATCTGCACACTAAATACAAGTAAGCTCTGATTTTCTAATCAGAGCATAATGTGTTCCTTGCATAAAATCCCTTAGAAGGGATTAAATATAACATGATTTAAATATAATTATTGTTTACAAACTAAACTAAAGTAGATCTATGCATAGCTATTTTTACATGAATATTGTGTACAACCTGCTGACAGCATTAACTAACGAATTCTCAAATATGTATCACATTATATCTCCTGCGTTATCATTTGCTTAGATTGAGGTTCATAACCTGAACTGTGCACTTAGAGGTTTGGCAGAAACCCCCCCTTTAGAGGGAGGGATAGTGAAACTATTTACTGCTCTGAATGACAGCAAAAACCCAGTTAGGACCCTGTTGGGCTAAGATAGGAGTTTACCACACTTATCTCCCCCTCCCACAGCTCACCAGTTTATACTCCCCTCTGAATACTTGCACTGTAGAATGGTCCAGAACGGATGTTGGTGTCAGTGACTGGCAAACGCACACAAAAATAGTGTTATACTGAAGATGCTCTAGGTTTAAACAGAGTTAGGGTACTTATTTAATTAAAAGAGTAATGGTCTTTTAAAAGTTATACCAGATATGTCAGACGACAACAACAGAGGACCAAATACATGATTAAAAAAAAAGAGTATTATGATTTTCATTTTACTTTAATAATTTTAAATTATATCTATAAAATGAGACTTAAAAAAGTTTAAATACCCAAACATCCCATAGACAAACTAAAAAGAGTTGACCCTATCTTTGGCTTTGATCAAAATCCAGAGAGTTTGTTAGGCCAAATATAGCCACTATCAGCTGCTGCAGGATGAGTGTGCAGTTCACCAGAGTGAGCCCGTGCCAGAGAGGGGGACTGATGAAGCCTTGACAGCAGCAGCTGCATGAAGGCCATTGAGAAAAGAAGTCATCCTCAGTATGACCTCAGTTCACCCACTCTCAGCAGTGTCTTAGCAGCAGTTATCAAGTGAGCTCAGTGCCAAACCGGCACAAGAAGAGGAAGTGTAAAAATAAAGGAGGAAGGGGTGAGATGGAGTTGCATGAACAGAAGAGAGCTGCTGAAAGGCGAAGATGAATTTGAAGATGAATGAAAGAAACAGAAGGATGTTGATGATTAATGCTTTCCTGCTCCTCATCTTTTCAGGTGAGTAAACATATTTCCTGCATGCCATCTTTCGGGTTTTAAAATATCACTTTCTGGTGGAGATTAATGGGACAGATCTATGAAGCAGTGGTTGCACCTTCTATCTTTCAGCCATCCCAGTATGGAGTCAAACGGTGCGCGATGTGTGTTCAACCTGCCACGTTAATGCCACATGTGAGGACAAGCCAGATGGCTCTGGTAAAGTCTGTAACTGCAAATACGGCTTTGTTGGAAATGGGATACACTTCTGTCAAGGTAAGAAGAAAACAGCATTTTTCAT